CAATTATAACTTACATATATCAAATACATATATATTAAGCCTATGTTTTTATTATTTGAATTATTATTATTTCGTCTATCAGATCAATTTATACCGGTCGACTACACGGTTTATACTCCTTTTTTTATTGTTTGTAGGTTTTAATGAGATCAGTAACTATTCCTTATCTTCACCTTCTTTATTGAATAATTTGGCTTATTTTCACCTTTTCACAAGTATTAAATTAAGTTTTTAGGAATACTCATCTATAAAGTTGTGTCCAGTAAGGACAACTGATTTTAGAAGCGGTATAAATACATAAGGAGAATAATAATTAACGGACTTGGAAGCGCATAATACAAACTGAGCCATTAGCAGCTTTGTCACTTATTGGAATAACAACAGGTTAGCAATTACTTCATATTATTACTTGAATTTTCCGAGGCAAAAAATATAATGATTATAAAACTATTTAGACAAATTATAAATAAGAAGGGGACATATTATGAAATCAAGTTTATTTCAAATGAAAAAAAAACAAACCCTGACATTAGTGTAAAATGATATTGAATAAGATTATTGTGGAAGGATGGGTTGTAAATTCACACGAAAACAGTATTTCCCAAAGGTAAATCGACAATTGATTGCAAGTAAACAAAGCATTAAATGGAATGCATTTTGTTACATTAAGTTACATTAAGGAAAAACCATTTGTAACGCAAAAAACGAAAAAATTAAAGCCTGGGTAAAATTATAACGTGATAATAACTGTCGACAGTTAAACAAAATGCATAACAAATCTTATCTTAAAATACATTATACTCAATGCTTCTTTCTTGACTTTTAATCCAACGTTAATTTCTATTATCAGTAGTAAGTGTTTTGTTCAGTTAATGACAGCCATTGTCCCGTGTGTAATGAAAAGCATCAAAATTAAACAAAAATAAGTGTAATTTTTTTTTTACATGTGTTCTCAAAGTAAGTTGTTCATAGTTTGCTTGTTGGTTGTTTAATAAGACACTTAAAGTTGTGTTTTTGTTTCTGTGATGTTATTTATCGAACAAAGCTAAATAAACTCGAGGTACTGTATATTTTAAATTCGTCTTTTAGGTAACAAAGAATGTTTGGACAACACCAAAGGTCAATATTACTTTGGAACTGTCTCTAAAACCGGAGATGGCATAGAATGCCAACGCTGGGACAAATTACAACCACACGATCACAGGTTTGTCTATGGATTCATGGGACTCTCCGCTTCTGAACACGAGAATTACTGCAGGAATCCCAACAATGACGAGAGACCGTGGTGTTACACAGTGAACGACACAGTCCGGTATAGCTACTGTGACATTCCGTTATGTAACGAGAGTAAGCAGTCTTTATCCGTAAAACCTTATTCCAGCATTCAGTTCAGTGTATCGGAAAACAATTCGTGAAATAAGCATACTTTTCAATAGGTATAGACGTGGTCTGACTAGTTGTTATATGCGTCGGAACCGGGAAACTGGGGGGGGGGGGGGGTGCAAATAGAGACATAATATAGGCACTGAAAATTGAGGTATACATTTTTTGTTTGTTTAGCCCCCCTTCAATTAGCCCCCCTTTCAATTTGCTTCCGACGCCTATGGATATAAAATGCAAAATTGGATGAGTATGAGAGCTATGTAGAGTTAACTTTAAATTTGAGGTAGGTTCACAAACTCCATAAAATGGCCCTGTCAATATACCAATTAACTGACCAAGTCCTAACGTCCCATTTCGAACATCAACATAAAGTAGAGACTTAGTGCTTTCAGTTCATATAAAAAAATTTCGTCTGAGAGTCAAAGTTTGGAAACTCAGACGTTGTGAAACTGCAATGTTCTTGATTTTTTAAGAAATTGGGTGAAATTGAGCATCTTCAACTTTTAATAAAAATATGAGCCCACCCCGCGATCCAAAAAAATTTTCATGGACTAGGATCCTCTGAAATTGTTCTTTCATTATATATATAAATATTTTAGATCAGAGGTTGGGGGCTATGCAAAATATTAAAAAACAGCTTAATTTTTTTGTCATTTTTAGAGAATTTTCCAGATTTGAGGAAAATGACGAAATTCATGACGTCATAATACATAGACAAGAGACAAAATTACGTCATTTTTATTTGATATGAAGTCACCAAGGGTCCAAGTGAAACTTAACATATTTTCAACTAAAACTGAGTTGTTCTGATTTTTCAAAAAATTCACAGGGCCAAAAATGGACCAATGTGACTTTTCTTCTTTATTCTCTTTATGTCTGAAATCCTTGCAATATGAAGCAATGGTGTTTATGGATTTAGTCAAATACACTGTACTTTAAATTCATACTTTTGAGGTTGATGGATAGTTTCAAAAGATATTGAATAAAAAACAAAAAAATAACGCTTCATTATCCTTTAGAATTGTAAAAGTATTTACATTTCTATCAATCAGAAGACTGTAGGGAGATGGAGAAAGGTATGGAATACCAAGGAAAACATAATATCACTTGGGATGGTATAGCCTGCCAGCGCTGGGACAGTACGTACCCCCATGTTCCTAACAGAAGGATAAGTTTCCCAGGGTCGACTCTATCGCGCCAGGAGAACTACTGTAGAAACCCTGACGGTGAACCTTTACCCTGGTGCTACACCGTGAATCCTGACGTACGCTGGCAGACCTGAGATATACCTTTTTGTTTAAACTGTGAGTACAATAAAGTAAGATAAAGTACGCTGGCAGACCTATGATATTCCCTTCTGCTTCAAGGGTGAGTACAATAAAGTAAGATAACAATCAAGGTCACAAGGTCATTGACCTTGGTGTTATTTGAAAGAGCCTAAACAGTGAAGTATTCATTCCAAAATGAAGTCTCTACCATTTATGGTCCAAAAGTTCTGGTGAAGGTTAAAGTTTGCAGACAAACACACAAACAGATAGACAGACAGACAGACCGGACAAAAACAATATACGCCTCGGATTTTTCAATTCGGGCGCATAAACAATCGAATAGACGATCCTCTTTGTTTATGTTTGTTTGTTTATGTATGGCAATAACTGTGAAGCGTTGAAAATGTCAGCCCGATGTTCTTATGCGAACTCTGACAAAATTTTTTTTACTAAAGATTTTATAAAAATGAAGAAATGCTGAAAAAATGATGTGATACCGGGAGGAGGGGGTTGTATTTCAATTGTAGAGAAACACCAGATTTTAACAAACATATCAATTTGTAGTAATATTGAATTCAATAAAATACCTCAAACCCAGAGGTGCATTAACTACGATATGTCACTAATTCAGGAGTCATTTTATTCTTCAAATATGAATTCTATTCCTGTATCAAAATCGATGTCTATGGTCCATTAATTTTGGCAAATAACAAGCCATATAGGAAAAAATCAATGAAAATTAAAATAATTTTCATTCCAACAACCAAAGCTGCAATTAAGAAACAAAACAAATTAATTTAAAAAGATATGATAAATTCAGTCTTGTCATTAAAAAGGAAATCGAGATTTTTTCATTATTCCATGTGGAGCAAATATGCGATTATTATCAGTTCAGTAAATCAGCTATCTTTACGTTTATTTTGTAGCGTCCTTTCAGTGTGATTTCTCGGGAGGAATGTGTGGTCTAGAACAACCGAATGATACAGGAATGACTTGGTTGTTGGACAAGAATGGTATGTATTGTAAAATGTTAAGAACGAAAAACATGAACAAAACCGTGATCGATCTTTAAAAATAACTATAAAGAATACAAATTTGAGAACCGGATATAAAAGCCCGGATCCCTTGAAATTCAAAACTGACCGGAAGGAGCAAACATCTATTTTCAACCTGTCATATCCGCCGTGAACCCTATATATAGATTATTTTGTGCTCAAATTTAGTATTAAAACGGTGTCTAACATTAGGTAGGAATATCTTCAGGTTTACATTTTTAATGGAATTGTTGAAATTCCTGTAATATAAATTTATTTGTCAGTAGTCTGTTTAGTTTGAAAATTACTTTAGAAGTTTTGAATAAGTTAGGAGATGTGAACACCATATGCAGGTAATGACGAAATACAACTAAATAAAGAAGGAAAGCTGACGATAGAAAATCTGATGTAATTTTGCTTTTCATGCAATTTATTTCCCAGCAGGCACACAACGTTGTTTAAACGTTGAATATATAGTTGAAGTTGGGTTTAGACGGTGAGAAATCTAGATACAATATTGACTTTTCAACGTTGAAAATTTAACGTTGAATCAACATTGAATTCAAATTGAATTGAATTGCCAACATTGATTCAATGTCGGATCTTCGCTGAGTGGGTCAATCCTATTTTTCGCTCATAGATAATTTGGACTATGATAGAGTCGGACTATAACACTGTCGAACCATAACGAGGTCGCACTTGACAAATTCGCATTACTAACTATTATAACTAACAAGGATGGTAAACTTTACACATTCAATGATAAATATGAATTCAGTACGACTTTGCCGATACGAATTAAAAAGATACGCAGTAGGACATCCGGAAAATATTCAAAAATTTAAATGCTCGGGTTAATTTTGTAACATGATTGATTTATAATATAAATTTTGGTGAAAATTATTGTAACACAATTAACTACTGATAGGAAATTAAACACTTACTGTTTACGATATATATTTTTTTTCATATAGTGATATACCGTATAATTTCATTTAAGGGCTCCCGACCCTCTGCTATAAATTTCACCTTACAAAGTTTTAAATTTGTAATATTGATTTTCATAAATAACAATAACATTAGAGCCACATGGAAAATAGTTTGAAGTATAAAGCGCTGCTTATTTTTTCAGAAATGATTTTTATGTGCAGATCATGAAATGAAGAATTGGAACACAGGGAATAGACAGAGTAACGATTTATTACCACAACATTAGATATAATATATGAGATGCATATGAAAATAATACTTACTATTATACCTAATTAAATCATGTTAGAAAACATCACGATGTTTCCTAAGTAAGAAAATCACAATGTTGTATGTGATTGTAAGAAAAAAATATATCTGTGATGAGGAGTTATCTTTCTTCTAAATATTTCTTCATGTGAAAAAAAAGTTATTCTAATTAAAATACTGTATTAAGTACTTGAAATATTAAACCATTTTAAAAATAATTCTTAAAAAGATACAACTTATTCAATTTATAAGGCATTCGATGTTGGATTTAAATGTTTTATTGTTAAATATAATAAAACAATTACGAAGAAATTTGCAAAAGAAA